ATATATATATATATATATATATATATATATATATATATATATATATATATATATATATATATATATATATATATATATGTATTCAACAAGCGCAGAATATAATTAATATAATACAAAAGTAAAAAGTGCGTATAATACTACAATTCTCTGCTAAAATATTTGATAAAATTAGATAAAAAAAATCTCTGCAACTAAATCGTAGTGTTCGTTAAAAAATGGTCACAGAAAATTTTGTATGTTCAGATATTCAATTAGTATATTTTTCGTAATCATCAAAAGTAAATTACACGATATAAAACAAAAGAAATTGATAACTTTTCATCTGAAATCTGAAATCTGAAATGTGAGAAATTGAAATTTTTAATAGAAATGACAAGTGTATGTGTATGTGTTTGGAGAGATAAAGTTATATAGTACAACTTTTAAACGTGAAATTCGCATATGTTTCTATCGATCTTTATCTGATTTTGTTTAAGCGGGGCTGTTACACAGTTATGCAGACTGTTATGCAGACTTTTATGGAATCTTCGGTTAGCCAAGTACGGTTAGCCAAGGTAATGACGTGTGCCAGAGCAGCGAGGCTGGAGTGTTTAACACTTTATCTGCCTCCTCGATGTTATTAATGATACTCGCTGAGTCAGGCGTCAGGCAGAACGCGGGCGATGAGGCGGTGAGCGGCATCTTCAAAGTTTAATATCCGCATGAGCGGAGTCACTCCTGGCCGACCAGCCGTAGAGTCCTGCTACTCTCGTAGAACGTAACACATACGTCTCGACGTTTCATCGACGATCGGCCAGTTTCACCCTTGGTCTCTCCTTAAACCGCTGGTGAATCGAGAGGCGACTTTATTTCGAGCCGGGTTTGATGGAAACAAGTATCCAAGTTATAAAAGGAACGGCGCGCCGAAAGGATCACGCTTAATGTGAAAAGTTGAACAATCGTTGCAAGACCTCATGCAATGTGTTGCTGATATTCTAGTACCAACGTACTAGCGCTTATCAGACTCAATGTTTCTGGTAGGCAGCCTCAGTAGGTCGCTTTCCTCTGCACCCTCGCATTAGAATGCTTTGGGACGCATCAGGACGTCTTACGCGAAATTTAAGGCGATAAGTCGGTTGAGCATGTTGGTTAACGAGTACTCCCAGTAAACATGCGTGTTTATAAGACGTCTTAAAGTCTTCATTAAATTATCTTTTGGACATACGTGTCTAAAAGATTTCTTAAAGGTAACTCTAAGATGTCTTAGACACGCATGTTTACTGGGCTGTTATGCAGATTTTCATATAGAATCGTTAAAGAACGAATTACAAGACACAATATCAGATGCGTTTGGTATATCTCGTACTCTCGGGAACAGACTACATGATTTACTTCTTTTTATTTCAACATATAACGTAGGAATCGTGAGCATGCGATTTCTTGTTTCTGACGTCTCAAATAAGAACAGCCTGAGTACTCATGGACCTTAACACGTATGATGGATCATAGCCGAAAGTTTCAACTGCAACTTCGCATCTTGGAGATAAACCATGCAAAATTAGTGTTTCGTATGTTGATGCTTTGGGATACATCGTGAGACTCCTAAAGGGAATGTGAAAGAACGAATTACAAGACACAATATCAGATGCGTTTGGTATATCTCGTACTCTCGGGAACAGACTACATGATTTACTTCTTTTTATTTCAACATATAACGTAGGAATCGTGAGCATGCGATTTCTTGTTTCTGACGTCTCAAATAAGAACAGCCTGAGTACTCATGGACCTTAACACGTATGATGGATCATAGCCGAAAGTTTCAACTGCAACTTCGCATCTTGGAGATAAACCATGCAAAATTAGTGTTTCGTTGATGCTTTGGGATACATCGTGAGACTCCTAAAGGGAATGTGCTCCACTGGCACGCGTTTTAATCGAGCCTACCCACTCGATGCGACATCCGCGATGCGACAGGAACCCTTCGATTCTGTATACCTCGACGATAAAACCTCCTTTGCGTGGATTAGTTCGCTCAATCAGGAAATATACTCGGGGGTCTCCATAAAGTCTCCCCGCGTGTGCGAGCCCCTATATATGCCCGCTATGTATCCACCCTCTTTCCTTCTATATACCTTTTCCTTCTTTCGCTCCTCGTATCGCCGAACTTTTCGATATATAACACACTCGATGATACACGAACGGAGACAATGCCGCGTTAAAAAGGGCAATAACAGAATTAGCAATAACGCACATTCAGTAACAAATGTGTCGTCACGCAATTGGTCAAATCGGTTTCAACGTTGGCAACGTTCAATTCGAAACGTTTTCTCGTATAATAATGCGTTTCTCCTCTGGGATATTTTGATCAGGCGTTTAAAACGGACCACCGCGTGTATAAATAATGTTTCCGTGTTCACCGAATATTCGTTGCACGCACACGTATGGGGGAGAAGATGTTGACGAGGAAGGGTAGCGTGGTTCTACTCACGCTATAAAATGGATTTTTCTTGAACGTACGGACCGTCTTCGATTTCGAGGGTATTTCAAAGTCTGCGCGTTCAATGTGCCGCGAAATGTATCCCCTCTGTCCGGTGTAATACAGATGCTGTATAGAGATGGCTACAAATCCCCAAAGAAAACTCTTCATATCTATAACCGCTTTTCTCGACCTCGTGCGGTGCGCATCTCGTTGCGTTCCGAGGTAATTTTGAGCAATCCACCGTTCAGCCCCTGCCACGCGACTAAGAATATAGTTTTATAATACGAGATTTATCGATTTCACTTGATTCGAAGGGCGGAGTGGAACCTCGCTTTCCAAATAGAACGGAGAATCACGATGACATGAAAATTACGAGAAAAAGATCGAATTGTGATCGAAAAGTAAGTCATTTTCATGTCATCTTGACATCACTTTGACACCATTGTGATGTTTTGTTCCGTCTGAGTTAAGTCTATATTTTGTAATTTGCAAGCTATGCAGTATCGCATCGAGTGTGCAATTAAATTATCCGGCCACGACATTAAATTATCCTTTACAGTCAAAAATCAGGGTAGAAATTTCCAGTAAACAAACCCGAGAGGCGCAATAACATGACACGACTGCACGATACATAAAAAATTATTTATAAATAATACAACGAAAAATCTAACAAAAGTGCAATAATGAATTGCATTTGTTGATCGCGAGAGACTTCTAATTGCACTCAGACTTATGTGATACAATAAGATCGTTCAATAATTAATTTACATAAAATTTGCTTGCAGTGATATTTACAGTAAGCGTAAATTCGAGAAAAACTTTAGAGGCATTGCGTTGAGCTGGGTATTGAGATGTATCCCAATGGTTAGTCCTCTCTCTCTTCCCCTCTCTCTCTCTCTATCTCTGTCGTGTGTTAGATCCGGCGGATCCCTTCAAGATTACCGTAGCATCTTATGGAAGCCTTACCAGAAGCTGAGAATTCGGAACATGGTCTGGGCGGTACGCTCGTGCCGATCTTTTAATCGTAACTCGTGGCCGGATACTTTAAGCAGGCAGATCTATTTTATCGTTCCTGGGATAATACAGCGGCACTGAATTTTTACGGCGAGAGAGAGAAAGAAAGGGGAAGAGAGTAGAAGACAACGGAAAACTTCAAATGTTTTCGATTTTGTATAACAGTTTTGACGGATATTCAATTATTTTCGTATAACTCATGCAAGTATGACTTGAAAATAACATGTATGGCGCGTATTAGAAAAAATTATGTTCCATTTAATTATTTACTTCGTCTTGCTTTTTCTTCAAATTCAAAAAATATTTTAAATAACCACTCTTGTCTTCTGAACATTTTGCGATTGTTTTTATTATTTGATCAATATATCTCGAGAAAGAAAGAAAAGACAACGTAAAATAAGTCAAGCAATTATCGTCTGAATGATGGAATGAAATCATTAAATGATAGATAACAATAATGGAAAATAATATACAATATTTTAACGATTAAATTGTTATTTCGTTATTTCGAAATAAAGAACGGAAT